ACGGCTACGATATTATACACACCACGCACACGCACACGCGCGTCGCAGTCGTAGTCTGTCAGAGTCGGCCGCACTCGACGTGTGCTTGTGTGTGCGCGTGCATAAATCATGGCTCGCAGTCTCTCCGACCGCTCACTCATGCAGTCCCTCCCTCGCTCACTGTCCCTCTCACACTCGCCTCTCTCGCTATGACTCTCTGCAGTATCTGTTTTTTCTCTCTCCGTGTCTCTTTCGTTGTCCCCTTAGGCACGCGGCGGCGTGCACGCTCACCGATCCTCTATATATATTACTATATAATATACACACATCGCTCTATATACCGGGTGATCCATTTAACATAAGATACTCATTATTTCGAAAGCAATTATTGTTTTTTGAAAATATTTTTTTTACATAATTTTATGCCGTTAATTTTACACACAAAAAAAAACATTTTTACCACATCCATCGTCGTCGATTTTGAAAGTTTTTAATTTTTTTAATGACAACAAGCGTTTTCAATTCTTTATTCAAATCAGAATATTATTTGCATTCGTTACTTCATATAATATTATAACAATTGAATTTTGGAAGAGTAGCTTATGTGCTAAACATGTTCAACGTTTCGATGAGCGGAGTGAATTTGTACAGGGGTATCCTACAAAATTTTGGTTTACTCTAACTCCGCTCATCTAAACTTTAAATACTTATAAGTTATAACTAATAACTATACTTGACACTTTTGTAGATTTAAATATTCCGGATGAATGTAAAAATGTATGTTGTCATTCTAAAGAGTAGAAAACTGAAAAAAAAGATTACAACGATAAAAATAGTAAAAAATGTTGTTTTGTAAGTGACTTAAGATTGTGTAATAGAAATATTTTCCAAATCGTTAGCTCTTTCTGAAATAATGAGTGTTTGCGTTAAATGGATCACTCCGTATAATAGGTACTATATTATATACATATAACTCTATACACGACTCTTCTACCCATCACAGGTTCCATAATGCGAGTATACGTTTATTATACTGTACAGAGTGATTCAACGAGTCCGCTCAATCCCATTTTTTATTTTATTTAATAATGAACTTCTGAATTTTTAACTATACTCAAGTGCCACATTTTCAATGATCATTTCTTCGTTTTTTTTTATTCTATTTGAAGATTGTCCCATGACAATGCAAACTTCCTTTTTTTTAAATCAGCATCTTTTTTACTAGGCAGATATGCAAATTATTAAGCTGATTTTTTTTGCAAATATGAATGTTTCTAAATCAAAATTCGAACGAGTAGATTCTGAGTTATTAATATATATATACCATATTAAATACAATATCATAGTTCTTAAAAATAGTAATAAAAAACAAACCGTTGTAATAGGTAGGTACCTATATAGTTAGATATTTAGATCTATTATTTATTACACTCGAACATTTTTTCGGAAAATGTTGATGGATTAATGTTCCAATAAATTCAAAGTTTTTTGGAGATATTGACAATAAAAACTGTCATAAATCATAATTATAATATTATAGTTAAAATATCATATCATTACCTACATAATTTCATCGAAACCGAGACGACACGGTTAGACGCAACGTGCAGGACGACTGCTGAAACAACCAATGCCGGTTATTATATTAGTATTACATAAATTATGATCGTACCTTATGGTAGTCAGTTTGTAAAATCGTATGAATTTAATTTAATTTTTAAGGAAATAATATATGCTTTTTAATGTAACAGTTATTAAAAATACATTCTACAATTATTGTATATATTTCCGCCTATGCCTTAAATGTTATATTATAATCTAAGTTTTTGATAATAAGCTCCCCCCCTTAAGTATATATTTACAAGTTTCAACAGTAAGAATTTGAAAATTGTTATTACAGTGAAACCTGTATATAACGGACAGTCACGGGACCAAAATAATTGTCCGTTATAGACAGGTGTCCGTTGTAGACAGGTTTCAATGTTTTTAATCTTTATTAATATTATACGTACATACATATTATATGCATTATACACATACACAATAAATTTAATTTTAATTATTTATTACAATTACAATTATTATTTTTACATTACACACATACAATGACACATTATATTTGTATAAATTTATTAATTATTTCTTAAAAAATGATTCTATTGATGTTTGTTTTTTGAACATCGATTTGGTCATTTCTTACTAGTGATGGATAATTAATTCGCTCATATATGAAAATCCTATGTATTTTTGTCCGTTATATGAAATTGTTGTATTAAATATTAGTGTCCGTGTCCGTAATAGAAGGAGTCCGTTATAGACAGGTCGAAATACGTTAGAATGCCTACCTTTTTGCCGGGACCTGGTCATTTTGTCCGTTAAGAGAGGTGTCCGTTATATACAGGTGTCCGTTAAGTCAGGTTTCACTGTATTAAAAGAGAAATGGGAGTGAGCATGGTTGGTGGATCACCCTATATGTAACACTCATGTTTGGATCAACTTATATACTGTGGGACAACGACAACTGAAGTTCCGTATGTATATTATAACAATATGTATATACACACGCTCACATCATCACGACTGCTCTTCGATATATTGTTTTCGAGTATTTCCCGACTATCAAAATATTATAAAATATTAATTCAATAACATATTATCCGTACGAGTACTTATGTCTTATATTATAAGTGAGTCGTCTGTCTTAATGAAACCTCTACAGACATGTTTCGAACGAATTTCTTCATAATTATTATATGCGACAAATTGAAATTATCAAAACTGCTAAGTGTTTGCAAACGATAGGTACCTATTTAATACATATGGCTTATATTAAATGTATAAAATAATAATATAATATTAATAACTTTATTGCAACAATAACTTATCTTTACATATTTTAACAAAATATTAAATATAAATTTATAATAAACAATATTGCAGCACCCCCAAAAAGCAAAGCTTGTGCCGGGAGAACAAATTCTTTAAAAGAATAAATGTAAAATATAAGTATAAGCATAATAACAAATTAAAATTGAAAATAAAATGTATAAAACAGTATAAGGAGACTTAATTAGAATAGACACAAATAATATGAGAAAGCATCTAATGAGGTACAGAATCTAATAACATGAGGCCAATAAAGAATAAATAAAATAGATGTATAGGTACAATAAGTATTATATTCTGTAGGTACGAGTATCTTTATATCTCGTAAATTGTCTTATAATTTTATTTAAGTTGCCTATTTTTACCCCCTCAAAAATTGTTCCTGTTTCGCCCCTCAGTGATATTAGCAGAATGTCGATAAAAATAACGAATTTCGAAATTTTTTGAATTGGAAAAAATTGTTAGAAACAAAACGGAAGCGATTTATTTTATAGTGTTAGTGTCGCTGATGTGATGTACATATATTAATATAGTATATCCTGTAGGATATTTTTGACCTATAGACAAACACACTATGCGGTTACTATAAGACATTAAGTAAAATACTAACATAATATTTTAACGTTTTGGTTAAGGGGTGGCCGTGCCTAAATAATGACACTATATTATAATATAAATTAGTTTCTTTGTATGAATTGAAATTCATTTTAATTGATGTAAGGCGGGCAGTGGCGGCGTGATAGGGTGTTTCTTGAGGCAATTGCCTCACGACCAATTAGGTGGTGGTACCCCCCCCCCCCGGGTACGGATATTAAAAACCACCTATGAAATATGGTCAAGGGGACGGAGTGGCCGAGTGGTCTAAGTCGTAGGTTGCGATGCAGCCGGTGCCAGCTCGATTCCTTGGTCGTGGGCGGCAATTTTCTTTGGGCAAGTCACGGTGAATAAGTGCCGCCATCTCCCACCCGGGCATGGCAAATACCTACGGGTGTGCCCCAAATGAAAAATTCTGCCAAAACAAACACACACGTGTAACAAATCTACAGTACCCTCCCCTACAGTACCACAGGCTAATGACCTAAGTTGTCGAAGCTTTAACCCTAATAAAAAAAAAAAAAATAAATAAATAAATATGGTCAACTAATGTCTAACACTATTAATTATACTAATTTTATAATAATTTTATTATATTTTTGATATTAACACAACAAAGTATATTATCGTTGTAGAATTGTGAATTGGGGGTGTGGGGGCTTTGCCCCCACGTTTCTGTGTGATAAAATTTAGGTGGTGGTGGTCGAGCATTTATACTTGCCTCATAAAATAAAATGCGGGTGTCTTATTTCTATTAATGAAGATAATATAATAAATTGAATATATTATATAGTTAGCTATTATACCTACTTATTTATATACTCACCTAATTATTAGTCTTGAAATTAAACGAGAGTTAAATGAATCGATTAATACCGTGCTCGTATAAATTAAGCTATCGATGTTAAAAATAATTTACTTATTTACACACCAATATTGCACATAAGCATCAAAAATATTATTAAATACATTAATATTGAACAAGATCATTTTCTATAGGACTTTGATATTTTATTTTTTTAAATATTTAAATTTAAATTTAATGCAATAAATAATATTTATAACACAAGATTCTAGTAGTTGTATAGTGTCTATCATTTAATATGTTCTTGTTCTTAAGTAATAGACATATGTTCGTTATAAGTAAACTATAAAATCATACTTCTGCAACTAGTTATGTTTATTGGCTATTGGTTTTATAATGGGGTCTATTATAATATTATCAATGCTAAAACTACAATTATTCACATTGCATAATCGTTGTTGTGATATGCGTGAAAAATATGAATATGAATAAATTAGATATCATTTTAAATTTATACATTTTATCATTTAAAAATCATTAATTATTAAAATAATAGTATTTTAATAGTTGACTTATGATTTAGGGCCGCTTTCACCAAATACTTTAAACTTCGATTACGCTTAATCGACTGATAACAGATATTTAACCGGGCAAATTCGGCCGATTAAACACCGGTTTAACTTTAATCGGAGTTTAAAGTAGTGGTGAAAGCGGCCCTTATTGTTATTATTTTTAGGCCAACAAACCACTAATGGAGAAAAGAAGACGAGCGAGAATAAATCAATCGCTAGCGCTTTTGAAAACTCTTATTTTAGATTCTACTCGAACAGAGGTAAACCTATCTAAGTTTTTTAATTTTAGTTTTCACTCATTTGACATCATTTGTATGTTTTTTGCAGAATACCAAGCATTCAAAATTGGAAAAAGCTGACATATTAGAGCTTACCGTACGCCATTTACAACGGCAAAAAGTTCTGAGCTCAGACGTCAGGGATAAATATCGGGCTGGCTTCCAAGAATGCGCTAGAGAGGTGAGATTATTATTTATTATAAACCCACTAAAAATAAAATCGTTTGACTTACGCCGTGTATAGGGCACACACGAATGAATTGTATTTTAACTTGATGATTATTAGGTTACCAGATTTTTGGAGTGCCCCGAACTGCATATGTGCAGTACTGGAACTGGAACACTTCTTTCTGCAGGTTCCACAGTTATAGAGCCGGCTGTAAAACAACGGTTATTAAGACACTTAGATACATGTTCGTCAGAAATTGATTTAGATTTTAGCAACTCTACGGTTGTTATCCCTGATGTAAGTGTATAAATATAAATATACTTAGGTACATACTATGTATGTAATTAATCATTTTGTTATAATTATTTGTTAAACGACAATTAATTATATTATATAATATGTAAATATTTTATTCATTAATCTTAATACAGTGGCGTCAAATTATTTTTAAACATGCGGTTTGGTTTAAATTAAATATAAATATTAAGTATAATATATGTACCTGCTTATTATTTCGTGAAAAATGATGGAGAATTACACGTAGCTAGGGGGGACTTTTTTAATTTGTATAATTTAAATTATAATATTTACCTATTTATAATAACGGAGAAAAACGTTATTCTGAAAACGTCTATTTCATACTAAATTGGAAGTCTGACAGAATTAACTGTGATGACTTTTCGATTCACTTACGAAAAATTAATGAAATTTAATGTTTCGTATATAATTTATATGTTTTATATACTACGTTATTATATCTGTTTCTCCAGTAAAATAAAACACGAGGAATAACTTAACTGCTAAATCAAAGTATATTTAAAATAAATCGTTAGGACAAAAAGTAAAAAAAAACATGAACAATTTACGTTTAGACGACTATTCGCGGACTTACGTGTAATTCGGTTCAGATGGTATGTTTCATAGAAGATTGTAGGTACTAAGATATTACTTATGTACCGGATGTTTTATTATGTTCTCGTGTTTCCAGTGTCATCCTTGGAACTCTCCGATTTCTGACGAGGGGGGGGGGGTTATAAAAAAGTATATCTATATAGTATATCCAGATATCATATATATTTTATAAAAACGATTTTACATTTTAATATAGTGAAAAAAAAGGCAAAAGGGGTTTACCTTCTCCCCTAGTTGTGTACCCTCTGCGTCGGACGTTAGAGTAATGGAATTCCTTAAGTCCTTACGATTTGTGTGAAATAAAACTTTGAGAAGCGCATCTGACCTGCGCGGTGAATGAGGCCAAACAATCTCGATAAAGTGATAAACGGAATTTTCGTCGTGTGAAAAAACGCTCACCATTTATGTACCATATACGTCTGTTTAAAAACATGCAAATAGACAAGCTCATAAATATTTTTATCTGGGGACAGTACAACAGTTTAAATCCATAATTTGTTTAGGTATATTTAACAATAACTATTATAAGCTATATTCATCGATAATAGAATATTAGGTTCCTACCTATATATTACGTCTTAATGTTTATTGGTTTTGTGTCATCTGAATATTACCAATGTCAAATGACATCAGGTGTAAAATAACCTTAGCCACATCTCCTCAAACATTGGTGATATATTTTATGGTTAAAAATATTGTATTATATTACATCAAAAATTTACAATTGTACATGCAGGTACTTACTACCACCCACGACCCGCCTATCCACTGAATTATCTATGACATTGATCGTAGGTGAACCATCTAGGAACGTCGCCACTGTATAGCCGGTGCTAATATGTTATACAATATACATACTCGAATTATAACATTTCGTATACTATTCAGTTTTAAAAAATTAATTTTTTTTTAAGGATATTATCGGCGGGGACGAAGAATCAAATTGTAGCACGATCGACAGTAAAAATGATCGTATAAAATGTGAACCTCCAAAGAAACGAGCTCGCAGTAAATCTGTGGGTGTAGAAGATAAGGTAATAGATCGTGGTGGTCTGACAGCAAGTGTTGTTGTAGCGCCAACTAATGATCCTACACAACCATTATCTGTTGTACAGGTTAGTAGTTTTTTTTTTTTGTAATTATAAGTATTTGAGAATTTTTAATTTTAAAACATGTTTTTATTGTTTACTTATACTTATACTAAAAATTCTAGGTAATTCCTTCACAACTTCCTGATGGCCAAGTTGTATTCCTTTTACCAAGCCACTACGTCCATTGCCAACAAAACCAAGGGGCTGAACCAAGGCCTCCAGGTGATGAACCTATTGATTTCAGTGTAAAAAGAGAACATGAACATGACAGTATGTGGAGGCCTTGGTGAATTCAAATTATAGAATTATAGCCAATTAGGTGTCTTCAAAATGTGTTTTTTTTCAATCTTCTTAAATGAAATTTTCTTATTTATTTCCCCTGTCTGTGATACAACTTAAGTATTGGTTTTCTGTGGTGCACATTTTTTTAGCCTTTTATTAGAAACTTCATAATGTAATAATATTGTAAGAGTGTTAAGATAATTTTTCCATTTTAGAAGGCTTAGTAAAATATGCTTTGATCAAACCTCATAATTATTATTTAGAGGTTTTCACACAATTTGATCAGTAATATTATTATTAGTATTATAAAATATTAATGTTACTAATATAAAAGCATAAATCATTTTACAATATATTGTGTAATTAAAAAAATGTATTATAACGTTTGTACCTAAACCTGTTATTATTTAAAAGTCTCCTTTACTATTTTGTCCCAATTACTATTTAATTATAATTATGTGCAATATTTTATTTATATGTTATGACTTAAGTCAGTAGTTTTTAATTATTAATAAACAAATATTTTAAGAGGCTTGATGGAAGAGAGCATTCAATTTAGTTTTCATTATTTAAAAAACTACTCTAAGTACAATATTTAGAAATTAAATATGTAAAATAAAATAAAATTGTATCTTAAGTTGCTTTACAGTTGAAATATTATATCTAAAATGTATTTTGTATATTGTGGAATGTAATTTTTGTAGTAAGTTCCTTTAGGTTACATAAAATTTGATTTAAGTTGTAAAAATAATATTTTATGATTCGCAAATGTATTATTCTCTGGCTTATCTATTTACAATTATATTAATTCACAAATCACGATTGACCAAATGCATATGGCTTTCTATATTAGAATAATATTTTTAGTCATTCATGTATATTGTAACAAGTTTAGAAAATTATTTCAATAAATTAATAGCAACAATCGTGTAATTGTAAATCATATAAAAATCAGTATTTCACTCGAATGAACAATATAAAAGAGTAAACCTTATATGTATTGATATTAGTTTTATTTTTTTTTTAAGATGTAAAAGTTAAGTCATTTAAGCTCTTTATTATTTATTTCTTTATTAAAACTGTTATGGAGTGTTTATTAAAAATTGTAATAAAAGTAGATTTGCCTTGTTAATAAAACTATGTTATTTTTTATTTTATGAGTTAAAGCTTTTGCCTATAGTATTTACTTATAATCTTTATATAATAGGAAAACGTATATTTTTTTTATAACTCATAAATATTATCAATTACCAAATAATAATATATAAAAAAGGTGGGCAAGTGGGTGTCGCTCTGCTGTACAGTAGGTTACAAGTGGGTCACTGTATAATGGATGATATTAAATTTGAATTCAACGATATAATATCATTGTATAAGAAAAACGATTCTGAGCGCAGACGGTATGTCAGTCTATGTATAAGACATATTATATACATATCTATGGTATTAAACAAAAAATTGACCTATAATGGGTACCTATAATAAATTCCAAATTAATCATATCAAAATATCCATTAGGTACTTATAACGCGTTATACATCAACAAAAACCGTGATACTATCATAGATATATAATAGTACACTTTAGAAGTTTCAAGTATCCACGAATAATATTATTCAATCACAACAAAATAACTAAAATAGTTATTCTAGGTTTTTTAATATGTAATTTCGTCCAAATTTGAATTTAAAATGTCTGTAAAAAATAACTGTGTTCATATATTTTTTAGATTTTTTGGTTACAGTATGAACTATTTACGAGAACCTTTGTGTTGAATTTGCAATCCTTAGCTATAAAAACTGAACATTTTATAATTTATTAATTACAATGATTGATAATTTTCGAGATTTTGATAAATTTTGTCAAAATTTGATCTTTAAATGCTTATAAAAAAAAACTGTGCCTATGTATTTTTAATATTTTTCAACTGATATTATAACAATATATCAGGAGCCTTGTATTAAATTTTTACACTTTTTGGCCCAACAGATAAAACTTTATTGATATTTATAGAAAAAAAAACTAAAAAAAATTGAAAGCTGTAAATGTCCATAAACAGCTCAAAAAGAGTCAAAATATTTTCAAAATTGTATGGTGTATAGAAAATGCTAATTTAAACATTCAGTGAAATTTTCATGTATCTACAGTTATTTGTTTTTGAATTACAACAAAATAAGGAAATCGCTACATGGGAAATCGAGTGAATATTCAATGTTGTAAAAATTTGAATTTCAAACGCTCATAAAAATTTAATTTGACTTTCTTATAAACATTTTTCTTTTGATAAAGGTAGACAAACTTATAAGGAATCTTGTGTTTAATTTTCAAATCTTAGATTTAAAAAGAAAAATTTTTACGAATTCTTAACTCAAAATAATTTGCTAATTTTCGTGATTTTCCCATATTTTGTCAATTTTTGAACTTTAAATGCTTATAAAAAAAAATTGTGACTAAGGATTTTTAATATTTTTCATCTGCCTTTGAAGCAATATATTAGGAGCCTTCTATTAAATTTTCAAGCTTTCGCAACCAACAAATAAAATTTTATTGATATTTTTAGAAAAAAAACTAAAAAAAAATGGAAAATGAAAATGTCCCTAAACAGTTCAAAATAAATCAAAATATTTTGAAAATGTTATCGTGTATAGAAAATGCAAATATAAACAACCAGTGAAAATTTCATGTATATAAGTTCATTTGTTTCAGAGTTACACCAAAAACCAAAATCGATTTTTTGGAAAACCAATTTTGCGTAAAAATTCCCGTTTTTCCTTAATTTTTATGTTGTTTTTCCCGGCGCTTGTGAAAACTACTGGGAAATTTATACTTTTGACCCCCCAAAGTACCAACTAGATTCACTTTCCTATCAGAAAAGCTACTGATGAAGAAAATCCAAGCACTTTTACTGTCCTAAAACGTGATGACAGACACAAAAAAAAATAAAAAAATAAAAAAAAAAATAAAAAAAAAAATAAAAAAAAAAATAAAAAAAAAAATAAAAAAACACACATCATTGTAAAATCAATACATTCATCGTTTCACTCAGAATCTAAAATTAATTTCGGAATTATTTAATTTAAAAAAGGTGGGCAAATGAATTAGTTTCTCATTTGTACAGTATTTTACGGAATTTTCCAATATTTGAATGAAGCATCCTGGTGTCCTTACAAAAGGTCAAAATTAACACTTTTGCCCTGTATATTAGATAATTCGTTACCTACCTCACTTTAAAATTGTTTCAAAAATTATATTTTTCTTATCATTTAGCATTTTACAGTTTAAATTATAATATTATCTAAGTCACAAATCTTTGTTATCTGTTTTAATTATATATTTTTTCAAGTAGGTATTGAATAATGTGTTTATTTTAAAGTGAGGAAAAATAAATGTTTCATCGAGGCCAAAATATGTAATTTTAGTTACCAAATGTTTACTAAGAATTTGTATAAGAAATACCTATTATATATTTACAGTGGAACCTCGATTATCCGGGTGGGAGGGGGTCACACGGATAAATGAAAACCACGGTTAATCGAGACTTTTTATAATAATGACATTTTTTATTTAACTATAATTAGAAATACATATAGGTACAATTTTATTCGTTAGTCGAGCTAGTGTATATTACGTCGTTCGTCGCATCGCGGTCTTTTGGACCGCGTTATAATTTTTAAGAATATAATTGTGATATCTCGGTGATATGAGTCCTTTTCGAAATTGTTTGATTAAATAATATGATATTTTTATTTTTATTATTGACTTCTGCTGTTATTATCGTGATTATAAAGTAAACGAAAGCAATATTACCACTAGGGATGGCAAAAAATGGCAAAATATCGATATATCGAAAAAACAAAATTTAAATAATTAATTTAAAAAAATAATAAAATTAAGGCAAATCGTCCTTGTCAATGAAGTGGGTTGAATTTAGTTCAATTTGTGATTGATGTAGCAACGCATATGGGCCACGAATCGTGACAAACCTAGGACTTTGGAGAGATTTAAAACTATATTGTGGCGATGGAAATCACGACAATCAGGCACGGATGGCGTTGCAGGTAACTGCGATCGTGGATGACAATTTCGGTGATTGTTTAATCACTATTATAGTCCTCGTACAAATTTCGAATTCACGTGTCATGTGAAATACGTGTTTATTCAAAATATATATCCGTGTCACGGATACACGGGTGCAAAAAAACACTTGTTCCATTGAGACCTCTAATATCTACAGTCCATACTTATTTTTAAATTTTCGGAAGAGTGAGCACGGTTAATCGCGAATACGGATAATCGAGGTTCTACTGTATAATTTTGTCGTAATAATATATTAAATGTCAACATAGGTCCGCGTACATCCAATATCTCAATATTTTTTCGGGTACAAAAAAACCTAGTAACTACTAACTTTATGTATTTAAAAAGTAAAAATAAACTTTTATATTGTGGAATTATAACTTGATAACTTTGAGGGACTGAAGGCCGACTATGAGTTGATAACGATTGATAGCCAATGATCGACAGGCGTTGGACGAGTTTCAGCTGTCCGTGGAAGTCGTGGTATCAGGTGGTTTTTGAGGAATACCCGCTGTTCACAGTGGATACTACCGTTTCACATCGTCGGCAATGTACGCGGTCGTGTGCGATTTGTCTGTCTGCTAAACGAATCGCTGTGCCGTAGAGCACAAAAAAACCACATTTGAAAATTTAATTATGTGCATAGAATATATAATATAACAATGTACCTACTCTAAAAGTTTCATATATCAACGAATAATATTTTTAAATTACAACAAAATAACTAAAATCGTTATTCTTGGTTTTATACCTACCTATGTAATTTCGGCCAAATTTCAATTTAAAATGTCTGTAAAAAATAACCGAGTGTTGATATATTTTTTAAATTTTTTGTTACAATAATTGAGAATTTTTGAAATTTTGATAAATGTTGTCGACATTTTAACTTTAAATACTTATAACAAAAATTGTGCCTACGGATTTTTACTATTTATCAACTGCTATTATAACAACTTATAAGGAACCTCGACTTCAATTGTCTAGCTTTTTGACCCAACGAATAAAATTTTATTTACATTGATAGAGTAAAAAAGAGAGACACATTAGAGTCACACTAGAAAATAAAATCGAGTTGTTCTAAAACTGGTTTTGAGTAAAAATCTCAGGTTTTCTTTAATTTTTTGTTTGTTTTTCCTGACGCTTTTGAAAACTTTTGGAAAATTTTTTCCCCCCAATGTGCCAACCAGATTTACTTTCTTGCCAGAAAATATGATGTTTAAGAAAATTGAAACATTTTTACTTTAACAAAAGGTGATGGCAGACAGAAATAAAAATAAAACACATTGTAAAATCAATGCATTCATCGATCCGCTTAAAATCTAAAACTCTGTTGTTCTCATATTCAAAATAATGTAACTTTTTTTTCATAAAAACTATTAAGAGTGTAGGTTTATTTTTATTTATTTCAACGGAATAATGGATCCCACTGATTTTAGTCCAGAGCATAGACACATTGTAGGTGTATTATAGCCTATAGGTACAATAATGGTACAACTTACGGTAAAAATACCTACGAATACCGATGAAACCTAGGATTTAACAGTAAATGACTGCTGTACTTCACAGGTTCCTATTGTGGGGATGGACATAGTGATTTAATATTATAGTTAGTCAAACGCAATTTAGGTAATAGCCATTGTTGTCATTATAGGCGTGATTTAGAATACACATAGATATATTGTAAAATCCAATTTCAACCTTGGTAAAATTATAGTCAGCGTCCGTAAAAAGGATTTCAGTAAATGTACAATTGACAAGCATATTGCCCAAAATAGAATCACACATGCAGGCATTGCAGAGAGTTCAATATTGAGCGAGCTTAAAAAATAACTTGCATGGCTGCTTATGTGCAGTGTACAGAAAAAAGTATTATAATTGGACATCATATAAGCCTCTTCCCCTTATGTTCTCGTATTTACCTATTCCTAATTTCCTATGAAGTCTTGATATCTTGAATCTTACGTTTCTTATTTGTATATTATGTTAAGAGTGTTAAGACGATTATGATGTGCATGGGATAAGACGCTGTATAAGTATACATATAATATCTTCAAACTGGGTCGTTTATACTTATTTTAATTTAATGATAGGTAAATTCAATGGTCCATCTGATATTTTAAATGTCTACTTTTTATATTTAATAGAAAATAAATAATTTATATTAAAACAGTATTATGTGTTTTTAAAAATAAACTAGGTACTTTCGTTATTTAATAGTTTATGTTAATATTATAATTATATTCTAGTTTATGCTTATACAGTTATACATAACTATATTACTATTTATTAGTTATTATGGAATATGGACAGATAATAATAATAAACCAGAAAATGTTTCTATTTATTTTATTTAAACACATTTATTTTTCATTTTTACAGTAGATACTTACTATGTATTGTTTAAAATATTATTCGGTTTCTATAGTAACTGCCACTGAGCTTCCAGGTTTGACAGGCGAGCACGTTAACTGTAATCACTATAATGGTATCTATATAACCACAATTATACATTTTTATTTTTGTTTTGTATAAGTTTAAACTAATTTTGAAATACACAGGATCAGGGTGAGTTTCACTTAAATAACACAAAAATACAAGGAAAAACATAGTATTTATAATTTTGAAACGTTTTAGACTATATATTATATATAGTAAGTTATAAACGAAATCTTGAATGCAGCTCAATATATTCTTTTTTAGGTCCTATGGTATCACCCAGCCATTTGGTAACAAAGCGTTGGTGAGTTCCAGCTAGTAAGTTGTACCGTTCTGAATTGGTCTCCCGAAACTCTGTCTAACAAAAATAATTAATGAAAAAAGAAAAATTACACGTACCTAATAATAATGTGTAAACTAAATGTATACGAAAATTCTTATCTCACCCTGTTCATGGTTCTCTCTTGACTCAGTGTGCTTGCCAAATCATTGATACGTTCGTCCACTTCTTCTACATCTTTATGTATAGTTTCATCTGTAGTCTACTCGTATCATTTAAAAATAATCAGAGAGTATTAGGTTATATTTTGGACACAATTTAAACTTGATGAAAACGGATAAAAATATTTTAGACTTAGAATGCCCTTACCTGTTTTAGCCACTGAGTCAATGCCGTCGCTCTTTTGTTGAAGCTTCTATAAACTTCAAGAGCATGACCAAACCTTTCGGAAACTTGCAAATCAGTAAACAAGTACTCAATAACCTGAATATTAAAGTAGTTAAAACAGAATTAGTATTTGTAATATTATTAGACGTTTAGACGTATTCGTATTTAAACAGTTTAGGTTACTTGTAGAATAGCAAATACTTCTCTTGAAGTACAATACGGAAATTGAACACCGGGCAACATGGTCTGTGCCATCCGAACGCATAGAGCGGCTTGGTGCATCGAGTCTCTAGTTTTCAATGCTTGACGAAATCTAATAGATTCGTCTCTGTGGTATAATTATGCAAATTCGATTAGAACAAACAGTGATGTATCAAAAAATGCAAAATAAACGAATTAATGAAAAGTATTTACTCTTCGGTCCGCAGTGAATGCCAACTTTTATATGCCGTACGACTATAATCCGCCGAGTCTTGGGCGAATAACGTGGCGTCTTTCCACGACAATTCACCACTAACTAACGTGTCTCGGTAACTGCGAACCCTGTCCAATTCCCGTTCCAATTGTCCGGTATTTGATGATTTACTCCCAACTAAATTTCCTGTGTAAAAAAATGTATATAACTCATTACTATACTTGAAATGTATAAATAATCCAGATACAATTTTATCAATAGTTATGATTTAACGTCGTAACATATATTGGACTTTTGTATAATGTCGTTAGGTTTATATTTTCCCCCAAATGTCACGTTTTAATTTGGCATGTAACTCGCCAAAAATTAAATTTTCATTTATCTATTTAGTATTAGTCTCTATAGATCTTGCAGAGCTCACCACCACTTTGATAACAATCTGAACTAATAAAATAAGATGATATATAATTTGTAAAAATATAATACTTGCATATAAATCCAAAACCAAATAAACTTGATTTTCTTTAATTTATTGAGAATATGTGATATTATAATCAGTGGCGTAGTGAGGAGCTTGGTTACCCTAGGGCCATGAGAGACAGAGGCCCCCTTTAACACATCAATTCAATTATAATACAAATATAAATTATTAAATAGTGATTCACGAGCTAATAATAGTTATAAAATATATTTATTATTTTATTATTTATAAGTTAATAAAAACATATTATATTATAGTATTATACTATTATACTTAAAAGTTAACTTTTCGAGCCTTCATTTGAGCAAACTTGTCAATTACTTCTTCCAAATTTAATTACCGTGCCCACTTATTCTCAATGGAAATATTTAACAAACCCCTTTATTTTTAAAACTGTTCGAAAAACCAATGAACAAATCAAAAAAAAAACCAATCAACATATATTATTAGATAATATACAAGATGTTTCGTATTTCATATCAAATTATTTTCTACCTAAATATAATTAAAAAAAAAAAAAATGATCAGTATTTTTTTTTATGTAATAATAAAGGCGTCCTGTGCCACCCCCTCCCAACTTGAACATACCCCTGCATAAATAAGCCCCTGGATATAATATAAATTTAAACTGTATAAACTTCAATACATACCTACTATTATATAGTGGATACTATTAGATACTACGAAATATAAGTCATAATGTGAAAAGATGTAACATAAATTAATTTATTGTCTATAATCTATATGGTATAATATGTTTTCGTCATAATGATTTATATTTGGCAGTAAGTGTCCACTATAAAGTAGTATGTATTTTAGTTTATACAATTTAAATTTATTGTTATATCACATATAACATAAAATTAACATTAAACATTAATTATTTAAGATAATTTTATTTTATTCACGTACATTTTTGCTTATTTAGTTTTAAATTTAAAGTAGTGAGGACTGGGGAGTATTTTTAATTTGTGTTCTGATAGAGTAGGAAAGTGTATCTTAATCATTTTTATAATGTATCCTAAATATAATTTATAATTTATACATAACTAACATCTACTGAACGTTCAAATATAAAAACTAATTCTTATGCTTACTTATTATTAGTTCTTGGCTTTCATAAAGTTTCTGTAAATGTTGTACTCTTACACTAAGTTTTGATATTTCTTCTTCACTTCTAGCTCTCATTTGACTTAACCAATTTAAATGGTGAAGTTTTAAAGACTGAAATGTATTATCATAGTAACGTATTAATTATTATATGAGTGGTAATACAGTACATTACAAAAAACTGTTTTTAAACAGTTATTCAATCGTTTTATTGAGTTTGAGTGTTCAAATTCTTAGTTATATATTTTCAGTTTATGGACTGCATTTTAGTCGGTAGTAAAATGTTATATATAAATAATAATTATCTCAAATACAATGGTATGATTAAAATACTATTTTTTTTTTTTTAATCTTTAATTATAGATTATGTTATTTAGTTATTTCAAAACAATTAACTATAATTAGAGCTATATCATGAATAAAAATCAAATTTTAAAGAATTAATATTAAAATAAATGTATATGATTACCCCGATAGTGATTAAGACTTTTTATATACCTAATATAACTGTTGGAATTATTCTAAATTATCGGTTAATACTTAATACTCAAATACGTCATAATATATAACTGACCAACCGAATAATGTTCTTTATTGATGTAATTGTTTTTTTTTATTTTTTAGTTCATTTATAAATAAAAGATTTAAAAGTATTCTAAATTCTGATTGTGCAGCCATATTATAACCGATTTATCGACCATAATGGACTACTGGAAAGAAAAATAAATTTTGTAACATAAATTATAGATATTGTCCAATTATTAAAATAATAATAGTTACTATTAAGTATTATTGTTAGAAGTTTAGAATTCATTATATCAAGGAAAAACATGTACCTATAAAACATAATTTTTAGTAAGACTTAATAAATAATTATTATGTACCTACCTATTAAAAAAAATAAAAAAACACAATTTACTTTTCGATTAAGATTTGCAATGAATTCTTCGTGTTCTATCGCAAGTATTTGATTCAAATTTACTCGCAATTCTGCCATGACTGTCCTAATTGCATTGTCGCTTTCATCTACAATTCTAAGCATCAACCATTAACACGTTAATATACTTATGATTAATAATATGTATGCGTTTATTTTGTCATCGTACCTCGAATTGAAATATCTTTGGGAAAATCGGTCGTTGGATGTTAATTCAACATCCGCTATACGTTCTTGACTGAGCTGACTCATAAGATTTTCTATATCTGTGATAAAACGATCCAGTTTTGCCATCTCGTGACCTAAAGATGGAGCCGGTGCAGCTTGTTCTTCTCTAGCGATGTCACGCTCTACTTTTTGGTATGCTTCAATTCCAGTTTCTCTAGAACCCATTCCGTTATCCTATATATGCATCAAAAACCATTCCATATTACTAAAAAATTCTTTCATCTTATATTTTTATCGTTCAATAAATCAAATAGGTATCTAGTTGGTTAATATTTTTAAGTCTTAAAAATAAATATAAACAGATATTGTAGTTATATGTGGTTGTACAGTGCAACCACATACACTACAGATATATTTATATACAGATAGTTAAGGAGTGATTTTTATGAGTAATTAAAATTGGTTATTCAATTATTGGTTGTTTAAAATGTATTTAAAATTATTTTAACTTTAAAGTAAGTAAATTGTAAACACATAAATGTATAACATAGGTACATTTAATTTTGATGAATAACGATTAAATTTTCATAAGAAAACATTTAATTATTTAGTATAATATATTATTTTTTTTTTACAAGAATTACACAATCTATACTAATAAGAGCACAATAAGCGTATTTGAAGAGGGTAAACAGGCATGAAGAACGGGGTTAAGAAGTCACCCATTTTAATACTTAAATGTTCAGAATTCTAACTGATAAGTTGAACGGCGTTAAGTATAGGCAATATAGGTACATAATGGTGTTAGTATAATATTATTATAATAAAATTAAGAAAACATAACATTTAATTGCTACTACAGCATTCTTCGTTTGTATTATTTTTACTTTATAAGCAATATTGATTTTAAATGACCATAAGAAAAACGTCAATTGGTGTGAACAAGAAGACATGGCAGATATACAATAATTAATAGATATTATACACAGCTAAAAATTCGAGTAATTCATAAAATAAATATTTTTTTTTAAGTTTTTACTTTTATCAATGACATCATACATTTTAATTTAATATTCCATAGCAGAATTGTTTTCTGAGAATTCCAATGGTCAATGCATAACTATCATATTTCCAAATACTAGCTAATTAGTTATAACTTATAGTATTATTTAAAGTTTAGATGGGAGGAGTAGTAGGACCAACATTTGGTGGAGTACCCTATCGGCATTCTACTCCACACATTTCTAGTATTACTTCTAACACTTATAAGTTATAACTAATTAACTAGTCGCGTGAAACTCGTTTTTTTATAGTGAAATTCTCAGAAAAATATTCTACCCTAGAAAATAAGTATTTACATTTAAAAGAATTTCCTTGTATAATATAAATAGGTAGTAAGTACTAAATACAATGAACCGTCGACCTCGGCGAACCACTGATCCAAAGTGGATGAGCATCATACAACAGTTTAAGGCACTCCCCAAAAATTTAAGCTATATTCATCGCACCTTTAAGCTAAAATACTAAATAGCAAGTTAAAAACTATGGTTTCTATCATAAATACTATATTCAAAAGTACTCAAGTACCTATTTATTTATACTATCTTTCTTTTATAAGAATAATAAGCATATTATATTATATATTATTGTAAAAAAAAAAACAAAAAAATCATTACAATAACCAATTGTTAATATTGTAGGTTAGTACCTATAATTAATATAGTTAGATACTTACTACTTATAAGGAAATTATGCCAGTACTGAATTTGCATATTTAAATATAACCTTTATTTGGTTAACAAATAAATTGGCCTCAAAGTCAAATATTGTCCCATACATAAATGTAGCATTTTATACATTGTATTTGTATCATAAATTACTTTATTTTAGTTTATTAATTAATATTCGTTTACGATACGTAAAAATGGAATAGTGTTATATGTTCGCCCACAATGGTGAGTTATATCTACCTATTTGTTTACTACATGACGATAATTTCTAAGATAAAGCATTTTTTAAATCAGCGATAAATATGTTTTTCATGCATCGGTTATGTAAAAACTTAAAAGTAATTAACCGTGCCTATACGCCTATAATACTTTTAAGCTATAATAATCTTTAACCTTGTTTGAAAATTACTATGATATGACATATTATCGCAATTACTAACCACAGTCAGACATTATCATATAGTTTTGACTTTCTATTTATCATTTAGACAAGTAGGTACAAGTGTACAGCAAAGGTTAAAAGATTTGTATTGCAAAACAAAATATTATATAGGTACATACTATAATATTATTGTTGGTGTTGACTCTGCTGTTAATCTGATAAATTATTTTCTATACACATATAATATTATAGGGTATAAAACGTAATGTAAATTTTTTTTATTTCCAAAATATTATCTATATGAATCATATTGTGTCCTTCGTTCTACCAATCATTTAATTATAAAATACCCTTTTTATTTATTAATTTTCGTGCTTTTGATTGATTTTTCCTTGACAGTTTGTATATAAAAAAAACCTTTTCTGGATGAGTACGTCGACCTGTTTCGTTATAAATGCATGTGTTTAAGTAAACTTCTGCGTGGTTGCTAGGGAACATCTAAACATCATAAAATATATATTTATTTTTGCATCAAAAACTTCTAAATATATATTTTTATTACTAATTCCACCAACAATTGTTTTAAATTAATTATTGACGTTTATAGGTTTTTATTTATTTAGTAATAAAATAAAGAATTCGTGAATGTAAAACATTGACGTATGAAAGTTGAGTGGGGTGGGTACGTTTAATTTTGAAAGCAATAATAAATTATTTTTAATAGAGCTAAGTAGCTAACTTAATCTTATAATCTATTTATCTGTAACTAACAGCTGATTATAACTACATGGAATAAACTTAAAATTAAATTTCTGAATAATCATTGAAGTCCGAGTTTCTCATAGTAATACAAATCAAAAATGCTTTTCTAGTTAATTGCTGTCAAGTTGTTTCGGCGACAGTCTATTTTTTTTGTAAAGTTCAGACTGTGTCCGGTTGTGTACTAGAGAATGTACATGACATGTCTTCAGTATAGGGGGGAGATGGTGTATCAGCTCTCTCCATACATTTAAATACATGTCATAAATAATATATTATGTTTCTGTTAATATTCTTGAGAATTGTCAAATTTGTACATTACAAATTAAAAAAAACATTGTTAAAAAATATTTTTCAATGATCAGACAGTATTTAGAAAATAACAAGATATTCACATTTTCAAAATATTTTTTTTTACATATACATATTATAAGTTAATGACGGATTAATAATTTAAACAGCCAAACTAGAGTTTGCGTCGTCACTTCATGCGAGTAGTGACTATTCAGTAGTCACGTAGACATGTCTTATCAGTTATCCATAATTGCGACTGGTATTATACTGTTATAATATAGTTGCAGTCAAAACCGATACTACTATAAAAACAAGAGTAGGTACCTAGGTTATATCATTAGCTCTATCTAATTATTAATATAATATGTATTTATCAATATATATATATATAATGTATAGAATATAGATGTATTTAGAATATTATATTCTAATCAATTATTATTATATTGAAAAAGAAATATTAACAAAAAATTTGGCAACGGACGCATCGTATAATTAATTCTATTATTACCATTTACTCAAAAACAATGAATTATAATGAGGCTAAAGATATTGGAACGAGGTGCATGGTCTATACAATTATTGTAATTATGATGATGACGTATTATTATTTATTAGTGATTTATATTATTATAAAAGTAAAATATTTATTAAAGTAATTCCTATATTATAGGTAGTTTTAAAAACATGCGATGTATATTTACAAACAGTTCAAACTTATTTTTCCATTAACAGTATAATTATTTTAATACTGTCTCTGCTAACATTTTGTGTGTACTTGAAAAAATTGATTTTAATTTAGAATAAATCTATAGTAAATATAACGTATAAACATACATTTATAGATTTACCTAAAAAATGAATGGTTGATGATAAAATAATCACTATGTATATAAAACTATTATGATAAATCACACAAACGATGAAACTCACCACATAATTCTGTGAATACTAAGTTAAAAATTAATAATCAACCATTAACAATTTTAATAAAAATCAGGTATGTATCCATTATCTCAATCAATTGTTATTTTAGAATTTTTTTTTTTTAATAACTCAGAGTTTATAACACCACCATATATATATAATATTCTCTATAAGTGCGGAGTATAATGCAATACAATTTCGCAAAGTATCCCCTGCCACTTCACATTTAGATATCTATAAACTTATCTGAATTTCAAACAATAAACTATTAGTATAGTATGTGTTTGTCAGTCTTGTGAAGTATTTGAATAAATGTATTCAAATACTTTTATTTTATTCGTATACTATTTTAAATATGTTTTGAAAAATTGAATACGTATTCTGAAAACATTTTTTTGTATTTTTGTATTCATTTAAATAATACTTTTTTTGAACTCGAAAAATAGTTTATATTTGTGCAAACCAAATTTTTCTATTAAAAATCGGGCTCATTATAAGTTATAAACAATTGTTATTTGTTATCTTCTTTGAATGAAATATGATTGACCCAAGTTAATTTTCGACAATTACAAAACTGACAAATATTAGTGGGGTAAAAATATACTCTAATAGTATTCGAATACTTTTTCGAGTATTTGAAATACTTTAATACTCATTTATTTTATTCGAATATTTATTCTAAATACAAAACAAAAGTATTTTTTAAAAGACTGGCCACTGGTGTTTGTAGAATATGTCATAAAGTACAATTCGTTATGTATTTATGCTACAAAAAATAAAATAAAAATAGTAGGTTATCAATAACAACCTAAAACGTAACCACAATAAAAATAATGTAATTTCTTACAAAAATATACACTGTTGTTAGGTACTTAATAATTAATATAAATATTTAAGGTAATATACAATTATTTCTTTTTTCCAAAATCAAAAATGAATTGATAAAATGATTATAATTGTTATAAATATGTTGTGCACAAAATATGTTTTCAAATTTAAATAAATCATTTCATTTTATGAAAATATGAGTCTATCTAATAGGAATTTTCTTGAGTTGGGTATTATTTTCGGACCCACCCCAGCATCCCCTGAAACAAGTTGAAAATACGACATTGCCTTAACCAACGAAAGAAATGTAATAAATAAAATGTGGTCATACAACAAAGAAAATTTAACTAATTAATAATTATACTGGGTGATTCTTTTATCAAACAACACTCATTATTTCAAAAAGTGTAAATTTTTTTGAAGATATTTTTTTATATAGTTTCAAGTCGCTTATAAACAACGTTTTTATTAAAAAATTATATTTTTAATTATTTTTTATCCTTATAATTTTTTAAGTTTTTTACTTTTTTGAATGACAACATAGGGTTTTAATTTTATATTCTAAAGTAGAATATTTTTCTTAGTATTTTGATACATGAAAATTGAATTTGGGGCGAGTAGTTTATGAGTTATAAGTATTTAAACTTTAGACGAGCGGTGTTGTGGACAGACATTTCGCGGGGTAACCCCGAACCACTCCACTCCGCTCGTCTAAACTTTAATTACTTTTAACTCATAAACTACTCAACCCAAATTCGATTTTCATGTATCAAAATACTAAGAAAAATATTCTACTTTAGAATATAAAATTAAAACCCTATGTTGTTATTCAAAAAAGTAAAAAACTTAAAAAATTATAAGGATAAAAAATATTTCAAAATATAATTTTTTAATAAAAACGTTGTTTTATAACCGACTTGAAACTATGTAAAAAAATATTTTCAAAAAAATTTACACTTTTTGAAATAATGAGTGTTGTTTGATAAAAGAATCACCCAGTATATCAAATAAATAATATAAGTTAGAAAAATAAAGTAATTCTCAAGAAAGAAACACTGGGACAACACATACGTACATACGTAAGTATTAGGTATGTGTATTGTGTATATATTAATAATTAATTACATTTTTCATAATCTTATTAGAATTTATAACTACAACTTACAAGTACACACTACGTTATAGATATACCTGATGATAAAAAGGTGGGTAAGCGGATGTCGCTCTGCTGTACTGTAGGTTACAAGTGGGTCACTGTATAATGGATGGTATTAGTTTGAATTCAATGATATAATATCATTGTATAAGAAAAACGATTCTGAGCGGAGACGGTATGTCAGTCTAGGTATAAGACATATTATATACTTATCTATGGTATTAAATTATATGGAATTTATGAATAAATTATTAATTGCCCCTTAAAATATGCACAGTCTTATCATTGAGCATACTTCTTATTCCTTATACTATGGTAGATTGTATGGATAGGCCATAATATTTTGATTTTTCAGTTTCATATATCCCCGAATAATATTTTTAAATAACAACAAAAAACCAAGATCGTTAATATTGATTTTAATATGTAATTTCGTCCAAATTTGAATTAAAATGTCTGTAAAAAATAACTGTGTTCATAATATATTTTTTAGATTTTTTGGTTACAGAATGAACTATTTATGAGAACCTTTGTTTTAAATTGTCAATCCTTATCTATAAAAACTGAACATTTTATAATTTATTAATTACAATGATTGATAATTTTCGAGATTTTGATAAATTTTGTCAAAATTCGATCTTTAAATAATTATAAAAAAAAAAATGTCCCTATGTATTTTTAATATTTTTCAATTGCTATTGTAACAATATATCAGGAGCCTTGTATTAAATTTTTACACTTATTGGCCCAACAGATATAACTTTATTGATATTTATAGAAAAAAAAAATACGAGCGTGTAAGAAGTACGCGGGGATGAAGTGAAACTTCTTTCAGTCATACAACTGATATGAGGTTTTGTAATAATAATAATAATAATAATCTTATGTTAATTAATGGTATATATATATTTATGGTATTAATAATGATATATCAAGAAGGTACCTTCTACAAAGTATACATGTAGGTTACTTATATATAATATAAATAATTGTACTTGTACCATTTTCTATCCAAGTATAAAGGAAACATATTGGTACGTTGGTAATGGTAAATATGTAGATGAAATCAAGTATTAATTAAATATTTATTATTATTATTTATTAAATAGTTTAATTAGTATAGTATAGTTTAGTCATACCATTATGCAATTTACCTGCCAGAATTTAATTAAATACATTAAGTTATATTTTGTTTTCTCACCTAAAAACCGTAATACATTAAGTAATACCTACTACCTACCTTTATAATATTATGTGTAGGTACTTAATTTATACTTTTAGACCAATGGATCAAAATATTTACTAATATCAGTAGTAATTCATGTCCATACATATAATATAACCCTACTATTATGTATATACATACATCTATAAAATACATTAGTCATATTATGTAGGTACATAATATATATATATCAATTTGTTATTCATAAATTATTACATTTGATATTAAATAAATAAATATACTTGATAGACCATAGACATATATATTGAGTAATATCAAATTATGTCATATCATTATACAATTGAACCATCAGAGTATTATATACTATTTGAAAAATATAGGTGCGTTGGTCATTGTAAATGTGTCAAATATTAACTAAATATTAATTATTATTATTATTATTATTTATTAAATACTTATAGTATAGTCATATAATATGATGAAATTCATCGAGTTATATTTTGAATATACATAATTTGACTCACCTAAAAATAGTATATTATATTATATTATATTATATTATCGCGCACTCTGGAATATTTATTATATATGCGTTTTCGCTTTTATCAACTTGACTACGGAATATTGTTTATACCATGATAAAATAACATGGTATGCTGGCAACTTTATGATACGCATACCCCTTACCCCGCCGACCATCATACAGAGCTGTATCCAGTTCGCCGCTTTTCATTGGTTTTCATGATCAATATATATCACAGATTTCTATATATTACTAGATAGCGAACTCCGGTCATGAATTGAAGCCTCAAGGTCGGTTGGCAATTGTATGGTATTTCATATGACAAATAAGATGATATTATGATTTATTTTATATCGTATTTTATTATTTTTAAACATTTAGTTTACAAAAAAAAAAAAATATTTTATATAAGTCATTTTACATTTACTATTTTATTTGACCGTTAAAAAAAATATTATTCCTAATGGCTAATACATTTTGTATAATAAATGAAATGTTTTGCCAACCGACAAAATGGCGGCCGTTCACAGCTGAGCTTCACTTGTAACAATGTCAATTGTATAAGAGTTCCTTATCTAGTGTAGTATAGAAGTCTGTGATATATATACATAGTGCATTATGAGGAGAACTGGATACAATGAAATGCGCAAACTCCGACGATATTCAGTTCGTTGCCATCATACCATGTTATTTTATCATGGTTTATACGTTTATACTGGTTTGTTTATAATATCATATGATATGTTTCCAAAAAGATTACAAAATATTGAAACGGAAAATATCAAAAACTTTATAAACAAAACATCGTACCGTTTTCGTGACGCGCGAGCGTCCGTGACGCCCGAGCGTCCGTGACGCCCGAGCGTCCGTGACGCCCGAGCGTCACTCTCTTTTTTTTCAATACCCCTCACATAAGAAGTTTAACTTCAAAAACTAAAAAAATTGAAAACTGAAAATGTTCGTAAACAGCTCAAAAAGATTCAAAATATTTTCAAAATTGTATGGTGTATAGGAAATGCTAATATAAACATCCAGTGAAATTTTCATGTATCTACAGTTATTTGTTTTTGAATTACAACAAATTAAGGAAATCGCTAAATGAGAAATCGAGTGAATATCCAATGTTGTAAAAATTTGAGTTTCAAACGCTCATAAAAATTGAATTTGACTTTCTGGTAGAGATTTTTTTATTGATAAAGATAGACAAACTTATGAGTAATCTTGTATTACATTTTCAAATCTTAGATTTAAAAAGAAAAATGTTTACGAATTCTTAACTCAAAATAATTTGCTAATTTTCGTGATTTTTCCATATTTTATCAATTTTTGAACTTATTTGCGAACAAATAAAATTTTATTGATATTTCTAGAAAAAAAACTAAAAAAAAATGGAAAATGAAAATGTCCCTAAACAGTTCAAAATAAATCAAAATATTTTGAAAATGTTATCGTGTATAGAAAATGCAAATATAAACAACCAGTGAAAATTTCATGTAACTACGGTCATTTTTTTTAAAGTTACACCAAAAACCAAATTCAATTTTGTAAAAAATCGATTTTGCGTAACAATTCCCGTTTTTCCTTAATTTTTCTTTGGTTTTTCCTGACGCTTTTGAAAATTACTGGGAATTTTAAATTTTGACCTCCTCAATGCACCAACGATATTCACTTTCCAATCGAACAAGATACTGAAGTTGAAAATCGAAGCATTATTTCGACTACTTATCGTGTACACAGACACAAAAAAATTTAAAAAAATTTAAAAAAAAACACACATCATTAAAATCAATACATTCATTGTTCCACTCAGAATCTAAAATCTGTACACGTTTGAAATTATTGGGCTCAATAATAACAACAAACTAATACCACATGATAATGATTATTGATAACCATGTTTAACTTATGGTATAATAATTTAATGTATTTTATACATAGTTGGTAAAATTCTGAAACGTGTTATTTTAATAAATAAAATTATACCAAGTAGGTAGTAATTGTATATAAAAAAGAAAATATATTATAATAAAACTAAGAACTTAACTGAGTATAGATAATTTTAAACTATTTTCAACAGAGATAACATATAATTTCAGATAAATTATAATTATTGTAGCCCGTAGGTACTTTACACATTTTTAATTACAAGGGATAACTGGGATATTAAAATACTCACAATTATGCTTCTTTGAGTGCTCGGGGCACATCCCATATTTTTTTATGCAGTTCGTTTATCATATCGCTTGTGATGTCCCCTCTTTTCCAACCGCCATCCTCCATTTCGATACTACCTCGATAAACTAAAATTTGAAATTTAAGAAAATACTTTTATATTAACACTAAAATTATTATCATTACTATTTTTATTATTATTTATTACTGTTATTTGAAAAAAAATAAGGATTAATAAAAGAAACCTTATCTCTTGCCGTTAAACACACATTTGTTACGAACAATCGAATTTAGTTAACTCGCAAGTAGCAGGTAACCAATATTGTACATTTGTAAAGTAGATACTGAAATTATTTTGATTTGTAGTGTACTTGCGCTTGTAGCTATGGCAACTCATGACCTTGCCAAACACTCACTAATTTTTAACATTCGTAAAAAAATTATACGTGTACTCTCAATAAATATTATATTTTTATAGGTGTTGTCCGATAAGTTTCATAGGAACCATACATATAGAGTTTTACGGAAATAGGTCAATATTTTTCTATCACAGAGAGGATGTCTCAAGGGCTTATGACTACCTAACATTATATAGGTACATTAACCCTGTACTATATTATATGACCCAGAAAAGCATTCCTGTAATCACGATGATTGTAATATTTTAATATAATATAATGTGTAGGCAATAGGCATACATGCAGGTACATATACATGTATATAAACTAGTAAACTACATATAATACTATATAATTATGCCCATTATCTTTTTGAAAAATGAATAAAAATTTTAATTTAATTAAAGAAATATATTAGTTATGTTGCGATCAAACTTTAAACTTGATTTTAGTAGTTTCTAAGGTAATAAATAAATGGTAAAAATT